ACCCTACAATTACAACACCATGAAATTTCAGATTTGAAATAGCTGAAATCATTAAATTTATAATTTTTTAAATCCTATGACCGTGAAATAGACCAAAATGGACCATGAATTTGCTAGGGCCCTACTTACAGCACCTTTTCATATGGGAGACAACTCAAACCAGTTTACAAAAACAAGAAGTTGAATATAGGTGACACAGCAGTGCCAGTATGGGCAGCCATTCCGCTACACAAAGATGTCTCACTTAAGTGCTGACAGTGAGTGCTGTTCTTAACCAGGTTAAAACCCAGGAGAAATTAAAGTCAGCATTTTCAGGTGGTGTCTTGTGTTTTAGATGCTCAATTTCAAATAAACGGGTCTTGGATTTTCAGAAGAGCCAAGTAATAGCAACATCAATTGAATTTGGTAGAAGTAGCAGTTGCTCAGCTCTTCTGAAAAGCAATGCTAAATTGAACACCTGAAATTAGAGGGCCTTTAAATCTTGATCATTTAGCATTTTTTGTTGTTGTTGTTTGTTGTTGCTGTAGTACATCTGTTTAGAAAGCTTGATCTCCAACTGAAATGTGGTCTTTACAAGATGGAAATTGCCTCAGAGGCACAATACCTGAACCTTGCTTTCAAGTAAATCTTCTGAATAACTTTTTTTGTTTTTGTCCCAGGTATTGTTGACTATATGATTGACCAGGCTGGTCCTCCATCCAAACAGATTCAGGCTACCAAACAGGTACAAGAATTTCTGAAGGATGGTGATGATGTCATAATCATTGGCATCTTTAATGGAGAGATGGACAAAGCCTACCAGCTGTATCAAGATGCTGGTAAATTATATTTTTCAAATACTACGTTTGCGCCACAGCTCTAAGCTAAAGGCATTTCTGTGTTCTCCCATGGACTGCCTAGGGGGAGTGTTCACCTATTTCTGCTCTGAGTTTAATTTTTATTTTAGCTTTTCAGTTTATCTTTAATCCTTAGGAAACTGGCTAACATCTCAGGTAGAGGTCCTCTGAGGACTAGCTATTTCGTAATACTTTGGGACAACTGTGCGGTGTGTAGTGCCAGGGAAGGAGGGAGGATTTCTGTCTGCTGGTAACTGACGTACTCTAAGACTCTTGAGAGAGACCAATGCTGACCTCTCCGCTCCCCTGCCTGCCATGCTGACATCTGCTGCCTCCCTCCTGACTGTTCCAGATGACACTTGCCTCACACTTCCATGAGTAGGGAGCCAGTGGGAAGAAGCTGGCTGTATGGCTGCAATAGGAGGCCAGGCCAGGTGTGGGAGGAGAACTGATACAGAACCAGCAGTACAAGTGTGTGGAGAGGCAAGGCTGGTAGCTGAGAGGCAGTTAATGAGTTGGGGTGTATGAGCACCAGGTGGGGACAGTGGGGTGCAGAGGAAGCTCAAAGTCAGAGTGGTGGGAAGGGTCTTACTTTCCTCAGGGGAGGGAGAAGAAGCTTGGAGAATAGGGGCTCAACCTTGGTGGCTGGGAGTGGAGAGGAAGGGGGAAGTATTGAGGATGGGGGTGCTGCTCTCCAGTCCCTCAGTACAGATCATTGACAATCCAGTTGCTCCTATTCAGTGCTCTGGGAGGTTTGCAGTATTTAAATATACAAGAGGCTAAGCATTACTGCCTCCCTCCCTTTGGTGGAGAAGGTTGGACACAGATCATTTGAACTAGTCAATGCTGCTCTTGGCAGCAACCTGAGGGGGATAGAGAGCAGCAAGACATTCCCTCTTTCCTTTCCCCATGGCAAAGCATACTTGTTAGCTCTTACTGCTCTGATCACCTGCATGGCAGTACAGCTTCACAATTAATCTGGCCATTCCAACACAGCAAACGGTTGCACTGTCTCTCATTTGGGAGAGAGCCACAAATATTACTTTGAAAGGTGCCTATTCCAAAATATATTAAAATAAATATTATAAAGCAGCTATTTGAAGTTGCTCAGGGTTTTGGAATACTAGAATAAATTTCAGGGGAGATAGATTGGTGGGCAGAGTTCAGGTCAGGCGCAGTCGAAGGTGCATGCTAAATTTGTCTCCAGATTCTCACCTGTGGGTGGAAATATAGTAATACCTGAGGCAGTATAAAGTTCTAAAAGTTTAGTCTCTAAGATGCCACTACTTTCCAAATCTTGGGGCAAGGGGAGAATTTCTATAAACTAGAGTTAAAGGATTTTAATCTTCGGCTATGTCTACACTGCCCTGAAGTTTGGATTGTGGAGGGCGGGGTACCAAAAAATGCTGTGTTAACTCCTGTGTGGATGCTCATGGACTTTAAGGTCAGAAGGGACCATCGTGATCATCTAGTCTGACCTCCTGCACTTTGTAGGCCACAGAACCTCACCTGCCCACTCCTGTAATAGGGTCCTAATCTCTGGTTGAGTTACTGAAGTCCTCCAGTCATCATTTAAAGACTTCCAAGTTACAGAGAATTCACCATTTTACACTAGTTTAGTTTAAACCTGCTGTGGGCATGACCTAAAAGGTTCCTAGTCTGCATTAATGTAATCCTGTTTGAAGAGGATTAAATTAATGCAAACTAGGAGCCTCTAAATTCATGCCTGTAGCATCCACATGGGGGAGTTACAGTGCAGCACTTTGGTACACACCGTAGACCAAATTGCAAGGCCATGTCAACAAGCCCTCCGGTGCAGTAGCTTTTAGTTGCTAATTATTTTTTTCCCCCCACCTTCATTTCTCAGCTAATGGCTTAAGAGAAGATTACAAGTTTCACCACACCTTCAGCAGTGAGATTGCAAAATTCTTGAAAGTGACTCCTGGAAAACTGGTGGTCATGCAACCTGAAAAATTTCAGTCAAAACATGAGCCCAAAATGAATGTTTTGGATCTTAAAGTGAGTAGTTTTCCAGGCTATTAGGAAAAATGAAGTCTGCTTGCTTGATTACAAGTATGTATGAAGACCCTTTTCATTCATATACATGAGCAGTTCATATCCTCCAATTGGAATTTAATAGTCCAGTTAATTTAGATATTTCCTTAAGATTATAAGGGCCTGATCCAAGCCCCACTGAAGCCAATGGGAATCTTTCCACGGACTTCGGTGGGCTTTGGATCAGACCCTAACTGTTACTTTTGGTTTAATTACAGTGGGACTGATTTGTCCTCACTCTGGTTTTATGCTGGTGTGACTCCATTGACCTCAATGGAGTTACTCCTTCTCTTACTTACACGAATGAGAATGGAACCAGCTTTTTTTTTATTTTGCCTCCTAAAGTGGAATGAAATCACTCTAATTGTGCCTTTTCCACCACAAAGGCTTCATGAGGCCCCACTGAAGGCATAAACTACTTCTCCTGTTCAAGGACCTCAGAGTTTTATTGTGCATGTTTTATATACAAAATACATCTGTATTATAATAGAAATGTACAACTTGAAATTTTATTTTATTTATTTAAACTAAGTGCAGCACTCTTTTTACTTTAAACAGGATTCTACTGATGGGTCTAAAATAAAGGATCACGTGGCAAAACATGCTTTGCCACTAGTTGGTCATCGCAAAACCTCCAATGATGCTAAGAGATATGCTAAGCGTCCTCTAGTGGTTGTCTACTATACTGTAGACTTTAGTTTTGATTATCGTGTTGGTGAGTTTAACTCTCGTGAGCGTCCCCCAAAATAATTGCCTTTGGGGAAGAGAGAAATTGCTAATCCTATTGTGTTCTGGTGATTTCAGCTACCCAGTACTGGAGAAGCAAAGTCTTAGAGGTAGCCAAAGACTTCCCTGAATATACTTTTGCCATTTCTGATGAGGAAGATTATTCTTCTGAAATAAAGGATCTGGGGCTGATTGACAGTGGGGAAGATGTTAATGCTGCAATCCTGGATGAGGGTGGCAAGAAATATGCCATGGAACCAGAGGAGTTTGACTCTGATGTGCTCAGGGAATTCATTTTGGCATTCAAAAAAGGTAAAAAACTTAAAACACAGAGTTGGTGATCTGTGGGGGTGGTGAAGGGACTGTGCGCACATGACGGCAGGTTGTGTTTTTTGGGTTTCTTGTTTTGGTGTTGGTTGGGTGTTTTGTCCTGTTCTTCCCCACCACACCCCTCTTCCTGGATCTGTTTCTGAAACAGAACTCCGTGTTAGACAGGTGATAGCTATCTCTTGCCCCCTTCTTACATTTGTATCTTCGTTAACTTTGTGTTGCTCAGACTACACAGTGGCATTTAGACAATTCTAGCTACGTACTAACACACTGTGTGTGTCTGTCAGTCACTTGAAAGGGTTGGTAAGCCCCAAATTTTCTTATACTTGCTTATGAAATATGTATGTTCAAATGACAGCAGTCCTTTATTCATATTCATTGCTAGTATAATGAACCAGTATGTGTCTATTATTATGGTGATAGACACCAATATAAGAAAGGAGAAGATTTTTATCAAAGAAATGGATTTCACCATCCATATTCCACAAGCTTGTTGTATTAAAAAATTAAGTAGCTAACGCAGGTTTCAAACAGAGGGTAAGTTTTTTTTCAGCTGGTGAAGCTCACATCTTCCCTTGTTTGAACTGGTGCAACTGCACTCCTTGCTGGCCACCAATGGTTGAAATCAGGATTTATCCTCAGAATATTAAAGCCTCTCTCTAGAGGAAACTTAATTCAGTCTAATGGTGGCCTCTCTTGTTGACTTCACTTTCTGTTTTATTTTCCCCTAGGAAAACTGAAACCTATTGTGAAATCCCAGCCAGTACCAAAAAATAACAAAGGGCCTGTGAAGATTGTGGTGGGTAAAACATTCGACGCCATAGTAATGGATCCAAAGACTGATGTCCTAATAGAGTTCTATGCCCCCTGGTGTGGACACTGCAAGCAACTGGAACCTGTATACGCTGAGCTGGCTAAAAAATATAAGAACCAGAAAAACCTAGTCATTGCCAAGATGGATGCTACTGCCAATGATGTGACAAATGATCACTACAAAGTGGAAGGATTTCCCACCATCTATTTTGCTCCCAGCAACAACAAAAAGAACCCTATTAAATTTGAAGGCGGGAATAGAGACTTAGAGCATTTGAGTAAATTTGTAGAGGAACATGCAACAAAACTAACGAGGACAAAAGAAGAGCTTTAGATGAGCTGAGGGTGGAGAAAGAATTTTGTACGTTGTAGGGAAAGCAAGTTACTCACACAATTTGTTGAGGGAACAATTCAGCAGTTTAAGCAAAGGGGATTTTGGGGCAGAAAAAATATTGCAGTATCTGATTTCTGTATTACAAAAAAATCATTCTGGACACTGAACTTCTGTCTGACATGAATGTCTTTATAGTTATAGACTAGTTATAATTTTGATCTTTGGAGGAAAAATACAGTCTTTATTTTTTGTGACTACCTTTTTGAGCTTGATTATTTTTTGATTACAGTGCAGTTTGTTTTGGGTATTTTTTAACTCTCTAAGATTTATCAAAAAAAAAAAATCTGCCAAACAGGCCTGTATCTGCCTCTTCATGTTTGTTAGGTTTTTTTAAGTTCTTTTTCTATTTGAATTTGAACAGCTGTTTCATGTGGCTGTATCCCTTTCTGTCTTGAAGGATGAGAAGGGAATTTTAAAATAGAGACAACTGTCTTATCAAGATCAGAGGCAAACAACAAAGGTGCTAACTCAACATGCTTCTGCACCTGTCTGCTTCCGCTTTATGCATGTCATTTTAAGATTACACTTCTGTTCCCTACAAAAATACGAAAATGTATCTGTTAATCAGTGGCTCCACCCCCTCTCCCCTTTCACTCCTTTACTCCCAGGGACTGTATTGAATATACTCTTAAAAAGTGAAGTGTAATGCTTGAAGTAGGAGTATATGATGACGTGTGTTGCTTAGTATTGTAATGCAGTCTAGAGAGAGGCTTTAATATTCTGAGAATAAACCCTGATTTGAACAATTGGTGGCCAGCAAGGAGTGTAGTTGCACCATTTCAAACAAGGGAAGATGTGACCTTCACCAGCTGAAAAAACTTACCCTCTGAAACCTCGGCTAGCTAGCTAGTTAATTTTTTAATACAACAAGCTAGTGGAATATGGACCGTGAAATCCATTTCCTTGATAAAATCTTCTCCTTTCTTATATTGGTGTTCATCACCATAGTAATAGACACATACTGGTCGGTTTAAGCATTATGGGCTTCATTTCTTTTGGCAAAGGGTTAGGGCTTTTTGTTCAGAGTGGTCTTTTAAAGAAAATGGACAGAATCCCATTATTTAACAATGCACTGTTATATGCCTACCTGCAGTAGGTTACCACAGAATTAACTGCAGCTGCCGTGGACTGTTCTTCAGGTACTCAGTCCTAAAATTCTTGAAAGTGCTCCTCAACTTTGCATGCGCAGCTTTAGACATGTGTGGGTCCTGATTTTTTTTTATTTTTATTTTTTTAAGTGCTCGGCATTCTTTGGAAAAACCAGGCTGCAGGTGTCTAATGTTAAACATGCAAAAATATTTTTAAAAAACAAAACTGAAAAGTCTGGCCTTAATTTGTAGAAGGTGGCTCTTCTGGGAATACCACAGAGCTAATTAGCGCCCCTCCCCTCCCAAAAAAGAGGAGGGGCAAGAGGGCGGGTGTGTTGAAGCTCAGAGTATTTCTGTACTAGTGACCCTTCTCCTTATTTGTGATTCAAATGTTTTTGTGCCATGTAGACTCTTAAAAATCCATATATTCCACCCAGAAAATAGACCAGAGTTTAGTTAATGATTGTTCAAAGGTTGGGTTGTAAAGAGAAATAGTGGTGGATTGCTTACTTTAAAGAAAGCTGCCCAAATCTCAGGTTTAAGAGTTTCCCTAAATGATACTGATGAAAGCCAATTAAGGGGCAATTGCCCCTTGTAATTTGGAACAAAGAAGCTTCTGTCATATAATTTCTGACTCTCTCGTATGCGGTTTCCAGTTCCAGACCCCATGCTTGACTGTTTTTTTTCCTTTGTTAGATTGGAGGAAGGATTGTAAAAAACCCGGATTGTAATGTGCTTGAAACAAGTGCCTTTTATAGGAAGTAGGTTTTAAAAAATAAATCTCTAGGAGCACTGTATCTCCTCTCTTCTCAGAGGTTTAATATTGCAGCGTGCTCCATTTAAGGTATTTCCACAGAGAAAACTCTCAGTATAACACTGTTTACAGGCAGATCCCAGACCCTAACAATGTTGTTCTCTACCCTGGACTATAATGACCCTTATAGCCCCTAACTTTTCCTTTATAACTTGTTTGTTAATTCTCCACAATGTCTAAAAGAAAACTTAAGATCTGCGGTAACATGCAGAATTATGCTCCTATCTTATTCCCTCTATGCTCTCTTATTGGAGCAATATGACACTCCACTGCCTGTGATGGGCTATTCATTATACTCATGTTATGCCTGAGCTGTCAACATACCTAGGAAAAAATGAATATCTCATTGTTCGTGTTACAGGAGTTTTACATTCCACCTCTGACTTCCTTTTATTAAAGAATTGAATTGAAGCTAGTGAACACAGATTTTGCTGCTGGAATGTGCTCGATATTGCAGAGATGAGCACAGGAGAAGAACCTATATAGAATATTCTGGTTCAAATATTGTGGGCTGTTGAGTGGCCTTCAACTCCTATTTATCAGAACTAAGGTTACTCGCCACCCCCCACACAATCAGGTCTGAGTCACTGCTTTGGTTTTAGGTACTATGATCACTTCCTAGTAAGCCACCATGACTGTTTCCTTCCTTCTGCCGTAAAGCGAAGGAGGTTGTCATTGGAGAAAAAGAGACTGAGAGATTCATAACACAAGTGCGGAGATGGTTTTTGTAGAATGTCGTGCTTGTAAAATGTGAAAGATGCAACCCTTTGAACTCTGTCACAATCAGAAACAGCATTAGTTGTAGCCCTCCTAATGTCCCCTGATGCCACCCTGCCACTGTGGCAACTCTGGCAGGAGCTCTCTCTCTCTCCTGTGTGAAAAGGTAGGTCATTCTCTATTCCTACTGTGTGTTCCTGATTGCTGCCAGTTGTGATGTGAGCACCTGGGCATTTGAAGCAGGACTGCGATCTTACACTTGCTGATATGTGTTTGGTCAACTAAGCCCTTCTGGGCTTTAGGATGTGTGATTAGGGCTAGATTCAAGCAAATGATACAGGAAAATAAGTGGGGAACCCTCTATCTCTTCCCCACCCTCTGGAGTCATTCAATCTCTACATGCAAATGGACTTACTTTTTTTTTTTTTTTTTTTTTTTTTTTGGTGCTCAGTTCTTAAATATATTTCAGCTTGTCTGAATTGCTAACCTATTTCTTATTCTTGCTGAACAAATAGTATTAGTCAGCTTATTTGTTTTTATGCCACCCAGCAAGATTTGCTAGTTGAAAGCCCTTTCGGCTCTTAGTTAAAATGTATTTGTTTTGGAATATCTGTTAAGAGACAGCAAGGAAAGGCACTAACCCCCCAATTGCAACTGGAAGGGTGAGAACTGCAACACTTGTCATTCAGGCCTAAGGCTTCCCTTTCCTTTTGTGCCTTTACAGTCCCTCTGAACAGACAAAATAGGTTGGATTTTGTTCAAAAGCTTTCTCTGGCTCCTTTCCAAGAGCGGCAGGTATCAAACTCCTTGTTACTTTTGAAGTTGCTCTACAACATACTCAGTGTTATCTTAACAATTACACATTTGTGCCAGTTTTCAAGATCAGAAGGATGCCCTTCCCCCAAACCAAACCAAGTCTGCATCTTCAAAAATAGAACTTCTCCAAGCACGACTGCTCCCAGCGCACGCTAAAATGCTCATGATGCTGCTTGTGTGTGAAGACCCTGAATTGAGCTTTGTTTTCAAAACATTTGAAGAGTTTTCCAGCCTTGTGTACATTCCTCCCTATCCACACTTAGTAACAGGAGAAAATAACTTCAATCTGCAGTGCAAGGAGTTTTATTCTGAATTTTATTCTGGGGGGGAATAGTGGAGAGAGATCAGATGAGGTATAGGAAGAGCTGGCTGTAATAGTGCTTACTACATTTGTCAGCTGTGAGGTGCAGAATAACTCTGTCCCACCCACTGTGTGCAAACATTTGTGAGCTGAGTGGTACAGCAAACCAAATGCCAGTCATTCATTTCCTTCTGGTGGTTTGCTTTACTCTCTTTTAGGTGCTCCTATGTCTGCCATTACTGTGGTAGCTGAGCACTTCACACCCTCTAATTTAGCTATGCCTCACAACACCCTGTTACCCCAGGACTTGACAGTATCGCAGTCAGCCATTTTGTATGTTCAGCCACTGCTGGCTGAAAACCAAACCTCACATAGCTAGGAAATCTTAGGCCTTTGAGACAGTCCAACAGCTGCCTACTTGCAGTTTGTTAATTAGACTGGGAGGATGGGCCAGAGTGTGTGGTGTGGTTGTTTTGTTTTTGTTTTAAGCTAAAAAGCTACCTTGGTTTTAGGTGCCCCTGACATGTAGCTAAAAATATCAAGTTTTTAAATAATAATTAGTTTAACATTTAAAAAATTGGTGATGCAGTAAAGGTTGCCACTTGGAGTCACTAGAGGTTATATGCTTAAGTTAGCTATAAAAAATTAGGTAAAAGTATATACCTCAGAGCATTCTGAGGGAGTTTTTCTTAGCGCAAGGAGCTGACATTTCCACTCCCCATGAGCTGGACAGAAAGAGGGCCCCTAGAAGTCCAGCTGGTGATCACTTGAAACCATCTCAGGGTATGTCTACACCCAGCCGCTAATTCGGCGGCTGGCAATCGAAGTTCTGGGTTCCACTTATCGCGTCCAGACAAGACGCGATAAGTCGAACCCGGAAGTGCTCGCCGTCGACTGCGGTACTCCAGCTAGACGAGAGGAGTACTGCGGAGTCGACGGGGGAGCCTGCCTGCCGCGTGTGGACCGAGGTAAGTTCGAACTAAGGTACTTGGAACTTCAGCTACGTGAATAACGTAGCTGAAGTTGCGTACCTTAGCTCGATTTGGGGGTTTAGTGTAGACCAAGCCTCAGACTATGGGTAAATGTCCTAAACTTACTGCGTGTGTGTGCTTAATATCTAATAGTTTTAAATAAGAGCACACTTGCTTTTATCAATCAGATGGAATTGCTGTGTTCCCATTGATTTATTCCTGACACTGCCTAAAGAGCAACAGTTAAGTTACCACTGCTTTGGGTTCTGAAAACCCCAGATAACAGATTTGGCAAGCCAGGCATGGTGGAGAGGAAGGGAACAATTGATACAAACGGTCTGTGTGTTTGGCATAGGGGAGGAGGACACAGAACAGGGTTGCAAACCTGTAATTTTCTGTGGTGTAGTCCTGATTTGATGTACAGATACATTCCATTACTGATTCAGGGCTCAGGCTAATAAGCCTGGTTGAGTGAGAAAATGTCAGAAGG